TATATAAAAATAATTTTTTACGTTCTTTCAATAAAAATTATATGTATCTGGTAACAGTACACACAGTTTCAACTTCCAGCTCCTATATTTTGTGTTGAAAAAAAAAGAAGAAGAAAAACGTGAAAAATATGACGACAACGAGTCAGAAGCCTTCCCCTTTGGGTTGGATATTGCTTCTAGCTAGTGTCAATGTTTTGCACCCTTTTCAACATATCTGGAAAATTATGCAGCACGCAGGCTGCTTCGGCCATGCCTGCCAGGGCAACCCACCCTGACAGTATACCGCGTGCCAGGAGCTACTGGTGATACTTGATTAAAAATCAGACTCAAGACATTGGGGGAACTGCTGCTTTTCCTTTCTTCATCCTTACTATCGTCATTTTTTCCCCTCTACTTCATATGTATATTTGTCATTTTCTTGTGAACTGCTATTTCCAAGGTGCCTCGATAGTCGAAGCAGACTTTGTGCTGTTGAGGCTAGCGAGGTGAGAAGAGTAAGCCTGATTCCCGTTGTGGACTTCTCTGTTGACATCCACCATTTGGGGCTCACATTATGACCTTATGCATGTGTGAGCGCCGAAAAACCATACTTGCGCTCAAATGACCTTATGCAATTACGAGCGCCGTAAAACCTGTACAAAAGCAAACAACAAAAACCATACTATAACAAAGAAAACTCACGTCTTCAGAGGGTGGTTACGAAACGCCCAAACATTAAGCCACAGATAGCGGTGGTTAGATAGCTGTGGAAAGGAAAAAGGCTCACATAAAGACAGAAAGGTGAGGAAAAGAGACCCAAAAAAATGAAGTACGTACCCGAGTGTTCCGTAAACAACAGCTGTCTTGTCGTAAACTCCGAGTCTGTAGAAAGAAAATCAAGAACGTGTTGTTGGTTAATGAGACAACACAATTGGTAACGCAAATATTATAGAGAAGAGAGGATAGAAATAATTTCTTAAACACAATAACAACAAAAACAGCAACAACAACAACAACAACAACGACAATAACAATAACAACAGCAACAACAACAGCAACAACAACAGCAACAACAACGACAACGACGACGACGACAATACGAGTATCATTTCCTTTCCAAGAAGAAGAAGAAGAAGAAGAAGAAGAAGAAGAAGAAGAAGAAGAAGAAGAAGAAGAAGAAGAAGAAGAAGAAGAAGAA